AATCCACGATGTCAATCGAATTTTGCCAGTTACGAAAATTATTGCAGTAGCACCAAAAGCAGTTTTATAAGGCGCAATTAGAGCCCATTGAACCATTGACTCAGAAACTGCATATCCGGACAGCAGCACTCAGTGCTAGTGAGTCTTCTGATTCCTCAACTGATGCAGCCGTGGCCTCAATCACGGAGCTCACATTCGACCCCATTTCTGGTCACACTTTTGAATTCTGGTTCATGCGGCACGAAGACATGTTCAGGATTACGAAAACCTACGTAGTTTTTCGTATTCAATGAAAAAATTCCGCGCAATCGACAAAATACATCATTTTATAGTAGATGCGATGGAAAGATTCGAAGCAGCAAACTTTTGTTACCTCTTGCGGGCGCTGGTGAGGTGAGAAAATACGGCACTCTCCTTTGTTGGACAGGTGTTCGAATTTGCTCTAGCTGTCAACAAGGCGGAACGTAGAGTTCTTCCCGTTAACTCGTCTAACGAAAACAGAATTATGGTACTTATTTGCAAACAAATTTGGTTTTGCGAGAGACCCACCTGGGACCCAGCTGAATCTCTCGTTTATCTATACATCTATTGCGATATCTCAAATATCGTAGCACCGGAGCATGGTGCAGCCGGTGCAGCACATTCAGTTGCCTGGAAACATCACAGACGAGAGATAGAGCTGGGTTCCAGGTGGGTCTCCCACAGAACCCGAGTTGTTTGCAGATGAGTGCGTTTCGCTAAGTTCGTGCGACTTGGTTTCGAGTAGAACATAGAGTTGACGGAAACTCGGGGACTGACGAACCCCAAAAAGCGCCAAACCGGTCACGGGTCGTCGAATAATATTCGGCAACCTTGTGAGTGGTGCACTGTGTCTATAAAGGTGTCGTACCTAGCACAATGAGAGTATATCCAGGATAATATATTTTGTGCATAGAGAAAATATTGCGCAGCTCGTCTTCGGCTTTTTACGTACTGAATGAAGTAAAACCGGTACGTAAACGGGCTTCCTGTTCTAAACTGCTATAAAAAACGCGACTAAATAGCCAGTCGGAAAGGTATGCACAGATGCAGATGCTTGAGCACAAAAACGCCATACATTAAGTTAGGTTAAGTTTGCAAGTGGTTGTTTTGGAACAAAGCAAATCTGTGTATTGTGTGGTATTTGAACAGACATTTAGGAGTGAATACACAGGCGGAAGTTGGGTAACAGGGATGGAGGTAAAGTTGACCGCCGTATGCAAATATACAAGAGTTGATCCTTTTGACGAAGTTATTGTTTGGCATGAACAGCTAAATGGATCAAACTGATGTCTTCGTCGGATCCTAAATGCGGATAAATTGTTGAAATGCAGATGCGAAGACTGCGAGTTTAGTTCAGAAGTCAGGTGACCGAAAAAACTTAGCTGGATATCGTATCGTCACTCATTTAAAAAGAATAAATTCGTGTAACAAGCTCACAACCGAAGTTGTATTCAACATTATCTAGCCTTTTTGAAAAAAGTTAGAGGGGTGTTTGGAACCATGTTCTACTGATATCATGTTAGTTTCGACGAGTAAAAGTAACGCTGTGCAAAAATAGGTCTCACACAACTTCATCCTAGCCCATCTGGGTAGATGCCCTCGCAATAGCTCTTGTCTTGCTGTGCCTTTTTGGAAGAGATAGTTGATAGGCTTTTGCTTGCGTAAAAGGTGTTTTCTGAGGAATGACTAGTCACGCTACGAGTACGATGGACGCATGTGTTCACGGTCACAGCTCTCATCAGTATGAAGGCTCGAATCCCCATGCGTATCGCCCGCAAAATGGCTAGCGAAAGCTTCCTAAAAGGTGAAAATTTAAGAAGAAAAGATGGCATCATATTGGATCGACAACAGAGAAGCTATGATAATGGTCCTGATTCAAATTCAGCATTGCCAGTCCTAGTTAGCACAAGCAGAATATGCCGAAATCATGTACACAGCAGCTGGGAATTACCATAGCGACATCTGAAATCTTGCTGATGCTTTCTGTTTACCGCCCACCCAAAGTTTGTTCAAATTATTTCTTAAAATTAATTTCTTCATGGTATAATCCTATACTGATTGCAGGTTAGGCCACGTTAAACACTATCTGTAGTGCAAAGTTATCGGCCGAACCATGTATTTTCCGCAACGATAATAATGCTACATCGTATCCAGCCACCTAATCCGATAATTGTTTACCGAAACTATGTTGACTTACGGAGTTGCAGCGTGGTTTGATACAAGTTCTGCGGGAAACAGTAATCCAACGTTAACTACGCTTATCATGTATGTGGCGAAAGTAAAAAAGCCTGCTGCGATTATTGAAAATCTATTGATAAAAATAATAAATAATATTGATAAGCTATTGATATCCTCGCAAGTGAGGACACAAAGCCGATTTGTGATTCCCTGGGATGGAAAGACATCGACAGACGTCTAATACTCCAGTGCATTGTTACTCTTACACATGCCAGACATCTAACTGGGTAGCGATTTTCAGCCAGATGAAAAGCATGTGAAACGGAAATGGACAACTCGTGGCCCTGGAAACACCAGCGAACTTTGCGGCTGCGATATAAATTTCGCCCGAATTCTCTGATCGAGGCACCTACACAGAAAGGGTGCTCAAATGCAGTGGCTAGATGATGCGAGCGAATTTCAGAGGTGCCAAAAGTATTCAGCCATAGAACAGGTTGTGGTCCAAATTTCCTCTGGGATTTTAATAGTTTCAAGTCGTGATGAGAGTGATATCTCATTTTTTGCACCTGCGCGTCACCACATGTATCCGATCACCCGCCTACGATGATTTCACCAGTAGGCGGAACAGTCTGACGGTGGTGATGCACAAGCAAACTTGGTAAGCAAATACTCCACGTAAGACTGTGTCAGCTTAACGCCACCAACATAGGGTGTGATATTTGGCTACAAAAGGGAGAAGCAACCGAAGACTACAACGATGGAAAATCATAATGGCACGCGTGAAGAAAATGAGTATAAACAGTTTCGGTTGCTGACGTGGTCGGCATTGGATTAAAATAAAGGTGAAAATTTCTTGTGATACGCACCAATGTAACGTAACGAAGAACTTTTTTAGTCCAAGACAAATACAATTCATGATATGGACCCCGGTAGCGAAATTCCAAACAACCATAGGGGTGCCTTTCCTTCCCCCCTGGACAAATTTCGGAACAGTTGGAAAGCTCGAGATCCTTGAACACCTCCACAATATCGTGATTGATTCTTGGCTTGACTGCACTCTCACGGGGGAAGTCCTCCCCACTCACGGGACCCCTTCAGTTTCCTTCAGAGGTTTCGCGTATTTTCAATAATTGCCAGAACGTTGTCTAATGGTGAATAGGGCCAAAGCACAGGATGCACAGAGGATGCAAGTTCAGATAGGTAGTCTAGTATAGGAATCCACTGGAGGTCCAAGAAAAAAATCGATATCTGTTGGACAGCCGGCGTTGATGCACTTCACTGGCATCGACTGTGAATGCTTTATTGATGTCTCTTACAAGATGGATTTCCCAAGGCTCATAGGGCGTGATAAGCCTATTAATTGTGGATGTGACAGACGGGAAAATATATGCCTTCGTTTGTGTACTCAGGACGGGGCTTATAGCCAATGAACCACAGCTGCAAAATCCTAGCGCTGCAACTTCGACCTGCCCAGTCCACAAATTCAGAGATTCTACTTAAGTTACTCGTCCGAACCTATTCATTATCACTACCTCTCCTTCCCAAACATCTTTAGAATTGGCTTTTCTCCAACAGCGACGCCAGTGAGTTTATCCAGTTTCAATGCAAAACAATTTCGAGACGAAGCTTGCAGTTTGTCTCCACCGCAAATTGCGCCATCTTGATGGAGAGATGGAGCTTCTCTTCAACTTTTCCTGACCCTAGCCAGTAGCTCAGCCGTCCAAGGTCACTCGTGCTCAGCAATCTTTCTCAGTTCAATTCAACCAGTTTGATCACTGCAATAGTCGTATCTCAAACCCCATTATCCCAGTAGTTTCACACAGTTTAAGACTACTTATCATGTGATAAGGTTGTCTCCTTGGTTTTGCCCTCTCCTACGTCGTGTTGTTGCCCACCACACTGAAATTGTAACGGCCCCAGCATGTCTCAATTGATATGAACCCTATGAGTTATTGAAATTTTGTCGGGTAGGGACACTGCTGGACAATACCGAACTAACCTGGCTACGCAGCTGCTGAAGACGCGGAGTCAAACTGATGGGGATTGGTTGTTGAAGGGTGAAAGAAAGGGGATTTAGGGATTTGTGTGGTTAGCTTTTAGGACCGCCTATCCAAGCCATATGACTCGTCGGCAGCATCGTCATTGACAGAAACACCCTAGGACAATGCAGGTGCTCCATTGCCTTAGCCATGTGAACAGAGCCTTATAATGGAAATAGTAAAAAGTGAGGCAAGGAAAGAGACCTAGAGCCAGCCAGCCATAAGCGTTCGAGGTGCCAACACCAACGCTGGGTCAGGTAATCTGGACAGAAACTGATAACATGAATACAACTGACATCGGTTAGCCAACATGTTGTTCAGTGTCCCCAGCCAAGCACAGCGAGCGTTGTGAACCCCCATTCTGAAAGGCGAACAGCACACACAGCAACCAACCTTTTCGTAATATTCTGTGTTCACCACGTCTAGTGGCGCGAGACAAATTTACTCTCTCTCTCCCCGTTGCCCGTCTTCAAATTCGTCTTAAAGTGATACTTGAAACGAGTACTTTCTGGATACCTCCCAACAGCTCAAACCTCTCCTCCAAATTGGCCTATATGGTTTTCCTCCGAATCAAACCTTGGGACTCACGGGTTGACTTATCCTCTTTCAGCACCCAATCGTAAATCCAATTCAAATCTGATCTTAAGGATTTATACGACAACTGAAGCCAGTTTTCTTATCATGTACCTCGTCTCTAACATCACTACTCCCGTTACACAGCCAGAATATGCTGATCACGTCTCATCTAAAAAAGTATATGGACCGATGTTGTGCAGTGGCGTGTCTGATTAATAAAAAGTGGAACTTGATAACAAACCAATGGAGGACTGCGGGTTTCACTTGTGTATACGTCCGCATATTAGATGAACAACGTGAAGTTGTCTCGTATCGAACCACCATCCAAACAAGTAGCGTTCCTCAGTTATTCCAAATAAAAAATAAGGGGAAAATTCAAGGATAAAAATTATCCAAAAAAACCTAGTCATATTAGTCCTTCAGGACAATACTCGGAGTAGCGGGGAATATTTACAATCAGAAGGGGATTGTGGTCATCAAAGCACCAAGTCTTTCGATGGGGACATAAGTTCAGAGGCAGTTGAATTGTGTTTTTCACCATTAGCACTCGAATTAAAGGAAATCGCCTCGTCCTCGGCTATCAGTTCAGAAAGCTGATCCAGACATACGAAAGGCAGTCGACGGAGATTGAATGCAATAATGCGAGGCTCTCCCTCGTTTAGTACTTTCACAGCCCGACCGCTTTTGACTTTACTGCCAACTGCTGCGGCTGCTTCATTATTCTGAGATTTGGAGGTCGATGTTGGTGGGCGTGGTACAAGATACTGCAGGAGTATCTCACTCATTCGAATGGCGAGGTGAGGTTGCTGGAGTCTGAGCAAGCGATCAAAAAGATGTTCCAATTGTGATCCGGAATACTTGGACTGATTGTTGGTACCATCAGATAGCTGTGGTTCAACGTTCATATCCAAAGGTTTAGCTGATTCGGAGGTGGTAGGTTTTACAGCTGCATTTGGTTTCTCATTTGATATTCCAGTCGTTTCCAGCTGTGCCGGGCCACAAGTGGGCGGGGGATTGATTTTCTTTTTAGAACGTTTATCTCCAGAATGTTTGGTCACCTGCGATGGGACAGGTTGTCTTGACTGACTCTTGTGGGCTTTGTCGAAGCAACTGGGCTCACTGGCGGTACCAGAAAACACCGGGTTACATGAAGACATGGGAGGGGTTGGGGAAGACGAAACAGAAGAGCTGGACGAGGATGATAGGGAGGAAAGTTCAATATCGTGTTCTTTAAATCGCTTCAAATACATTTTACGTCTTTCCTGAGAGGGTCCTTTTGAGGAATGCTTCGAATCTTGGGGGACGGTGGCAGTTCGCCGAAGACCACTTTGAGACCGCAGATGTTCCTTACGCGGTCCAACAGATTCGCCAGCCAGAGGCTTGTCTGAATCTGATAAAAATAAGGAAAACATTGCATGGATCAAATCAATCACGATATCGAAAGCAATCGTATAAAAAGAAAAGGAGTGGACCACAAAGGTAAGAAACGAAGCCTTTCAAAACTGACGGTGAATTACCCAACTTTAAACACTAAAAGTGAAAATGAGATAACACAAGTGGCAGAAAGATTTTTCCAAAGCACGGACAAAAAACTTGATTTTTCCTACAGATGCGCGCCCCCAAGCAAAAAAAAACAGTACATTGAAATTATCCCCCTAACGATTTCAGCGCTACCACCGGGGTATTTTCCGTTAACACATCTACATAGTATCGCTCACCCAAGCTAAAAGTTAAGGCTGTGGTTAAGCCGGTAACGGCATGTCGAAGCCAAAGGTTATTCTACTTGCGTGTATTCACACGGCCTCGGTGACGTCCGTGAGAGACTTAACAAGTTCCTTAATAAATATATCTGGTTTGAGTTGCTGGAGTGCCCATCTTTTGACACTATTTCATACATACCTAGTAATCGGTGAATTATGTTTTTGTGCCTTACCGCACTGCATATTGTGGTGTTTTACGCACTGCATTGTATTTTATCCTACGCGATTTTCACGTATACCTGTGACGCATACATCAACACGCGAATCACCTTAACATCCCGGAGGTGGTGCTGCAGGTGTTTTTGTGATCATCGTTAGCACTAGCTAGCTCCACCTTTCACCTGAACTGCGTGTCTCAACAGTTGATTTGTCACCCCTTAAATCTTAGGGGCCATCAACTGGGCATGATGATGGCATCAGCACTATGGCCTCCTTTTTAACCTCCGGTCTTACTTCCTCAGGCTTACAAGGGCATAAAGGGCATCCAGCTAGATTCACCTTCGGCCCAGCGCAAGCCGCATGTGGCATTACGTATGGTGCCCGAAGGTCAATCACCAAAGTTCGATGTGACAGGTAAACCTGGAAACGGGAACCAGTCCATCCCATGCTTGGTTTACCTGAGTTTACCTATGATCGATGAAATGTAGGGATTATTACGTTATACCACGCGACGCTCTGCCTCAGTCTAAAAGCTTTTTACACTCTCCCTCTATACAGTCACCTCTTATGAAGACTGATTCTTAAATAGGACCGTGTTCAACGTTCTCCCAACTTCTTCTATTGAAGCAGGTAGGGAACTTCTATATGGGTTATCTTAAGATGCAAATTACCCGAGTGTGCGGCAGGCGCATTTAGCTTATTTCGCTCCTTTTTCTTCCGAATGCATTTTGATGGCAAAAGTATGATAATGATGCGATCCAATCGGAAGTTTGGACAGTACAATCTTCACACCCCTCTAATGTGATATTTCCAGTTTTTCATAAGGTTTGCCACTCTGCATCAACAACTTTCTGGTACTCCTCTACAGAGTGGACACTAACCTCCGCGTTTTTCTTCTCCTCTGCCCGTCGCCTGCCTGTGACATCAGCTTTTACTGTCTCGACGGAGCATTGCTGTCGGGATTCGTCTTCAGATGACAAAACCAGTCGTGACAGCTCCAAACGTGTGTCCAAACACTTATCCATAGCACCGTCACATAGTCATACTCTCAAAATATGGTAGAAGCGTGTATAAAACGAAAATCGAGTGATAGGTCATAAATGAGCACCTTTCGTGATTTTCCAGGCCAAATTGACAAGAGAAAAATTCATCCCATCAGGCCCAATTCGTTATTTCTAGGTGAAGACAACCATATCTCATTGAATATTGCTTGGGTCTGCAGTTCATAACTGGGCTCATCTTGATCTAAATGCTTATATCTTACTCTGAAATAAGCATGTTGTAGCATAGTCCCCCGTACTATTCCCGTGTCACACCCAAAGTGTGGTTCTTGACTCACTCGACCCTATTATTATTTCATCATACTCATATACAGCATTCCTCATTGGATATGGTTACGTTGACGGTGACCTAACGATAGTAGTTCGACACGGTTCACTAGGCACCGATCCCAGGTTTCCTCTTTGCCCCCTTATGTTACCCTCTAATCGTTCAGTGGCGTTGTGGATAACAAACGAATTTATTCCGAGGACTGGTTTCTGGCGCTTGGAATCGCAAAAAAATCGTTCAACTGTAGCACCATTTCAGTGCCTAACTACCGTGCACGGGGGCTGGGATACTGCCAGGTTCCCCGAACCTAGACAGGGGAAGCCGAAAGGCAGAGGTCAGGTTCGAACCACAGACCTTCCGGTCAGTAAATTCGCGCTCTAATCACTTGGGCCATCTCGCTCGGAATACAAAGTCACCGACATTAGTCACACGCGAAACTAATCCGTTGGGCTGACAGACAAACTGGGATAGAAACAAATGCAGTAGATCACTAGCTGGGAGAAAGAACAATCAATCTACTTATATGCTTCAATACTACATGTCAAACCTTATAAAAAAGGTCCTCATAGAGGCAGGAATATTCTCGTGTAGCAAAACAAAGCGACAAATGGCATTTCTTTGGTTTGACTTGCATTTGTGGTTTGCTAGTGGTGCAGCTGGTCCGTTTGGGCAATACGTATAAAAGTAATCTAGCGTTGCAGTTGGATTATGAAGTCCGCAGTTAGAGATGAGAGTTCAGTTGCGAAACGAACAAGCGGGTCAGATACAGCCGATAACTATGTATGAGATTTCCTCTGAGGACATTTAAATTACTGTTGGAAAGTATTGGGAAATAGTGTAGACATCCGACAATCATACAAACCTACAATTCAAGTGCAACATCCACTTGTCTAACACTTTCTCAACGTCTCAAAGTTACTAATTAACTGGAATTTAAGCCCATACATAATATCGCCTAATTCGAGGTGCTCAACTTTGGCTGATATTACGAAAGCTTTTCACTGAGGGTTTCCCGAGTTTCGGATGTCTGAAGTCGCAACTTAGCGTCAGGTGACAGTCGTTTAAAGCTTGGACGTTTCATGCTGAGTATAACTGAAAAAAGAAAACAGTATAAACAAATAGGTCGTCCCAGATCCATCCCGTTTATTATGAAACAGAATGTGCGGATTTGGTCATGCCAACGATCCTGCCTTCGTCCGACAAAGAATGGGTTAGAAAAGATCGGTCCTAGAAACAGCACACTTCGATTGCCCAACATGGCCGCCAGCGTAACTGGGAGTTATCAATCGTCCGTTAACTACCCCCGATAAGTGCCTCACCTAAATTGTGCTGACTCACTTAGTTGTCAATCAACTAACCGTCACTCCGAATCTAATTTTCCGCCCAGTCAGTAAATCAAAATAAATATTTTGAACAAAAAGCTTTAGCCTGATTCTCGTACCCATCCAACCCATTCTGGCGTTAGTTGGACGACAGTTTTGTCGTGATGAAACGAGACTAGTTTTACAAATATTTAAGTGACCTGGATCCACTAAGCAAATTTAGTATGGAGGTAGCCAACTCCCGGTACACTGACCTTCTAAGACTGCATTCCACATAAGGTAGCAACCGTGTACGAAAAGCCAAAGGACACTGGGGCAATTCTGAACTATTCGTCTACCCATCCGAAGTCGGTATTCGCCGGTATTGCTTCATCAGTGTCTAAGCGTGTAAGGACCCTGTGCACAGAAGCTGATCGGACGGCGGCCCAAATTGAAGTAAAGAACAAACTCCGGGGTAGTGCATATCTAATTAACTTGATTAGGCATCAGATTTGAAGGGCGGTATTCGCGGTATTGCTTCATCAGTGTCTAAGCGTGTAAGGACCCTGTGCACAGAAGCTGATCGGACGGCGGCCCAAATTGAAGTAAAGAACAAACTCCGGGGTAGTGCATATCTAATTAACTTGATTAGGCATCAGATTTGAAGGGTTTTGGTACCCGTGCCGAAGCCCAACAGGGAACGCTGTCATTCCATAAAAAACAGGAAAATCGGAAGTCGTTCGAAGGATTCTAAGCACGGCTAACATAAAAGTAGCTTTCTATAGGCGAGACACTGCGCTCTGCACTGGTGCAGTTTAATATCACCTCCCGGCGAAGAGAACCAGGAAACGAATCTACAAAATCAAGTATAACGACTGTACTAAGGTCTATATGGGACGACCGACCCGGAAACTTTACTCCAGAAGTGGAGAGCACAGGAGAAAAATAAACAAGCCGCCGAGAAACGCAGATGAATATCAAGCGTTACTGAGACTCGGCAATGGCGAAACATGCATTAGACACGGGCATCAAATAGATCTAGGAAATGTTCAGGTTTTGAGGTGAGGACTACGGTCCACGCCACAGAGACTGATGGCCGAGACGGTGGAAATCATTAAGCATCCTAGTGTTAACTGAACAGGTGTCCGCACTCTGTGCCGAATTGGCCAACAAGGTATTACTCATACCTTGTCTTCTCCTTCAATCAATGTATGTTGGCCTCCAAAACAGACATGAAAGACACTAGCTCGTTCCCATACCCTTCAAGATGAGGCGGGATTTCTCGCATTTTACAGATCAGTTGTCAGGTGATGATCAAATGGCTAGCGGTATTTGCGGTGTGGGAGTTGTACTTAGCCCCAGGGCTGAATGCGTCTCAATGGACTGGATTTCAGTAGTCATCACCTTTGAGTCGTTAGGTTGACTGGTTCAATCAAAATCAATGCAGCTCGAAGCGACAAACGATTTGATTTTGTATCAGCATACGCTCCGAGAGGAAAGACAGCTTCTATAAAGACTCCTCACGGTCACTCTGGTCAGCGGAAAGTGATATCATGATTCTAGCAGGTGATATAAATACCCAGATTGGCCGACTGAGTCCCGTGGAAGCTAACCTTTGCGGCTGATTCGGGGTTGATGTTCACCACACACATAACAGAGAACGACTTCTCCAAATGTATGCTAACCATCGAGCGTTTCTACCCAGCAAAAACCTTCAGCTCACACCATGTGACATGTGTACGTCAGCCATAGACCCAGTTGGACCATGTGGCAATCGGTTAAGGGTGAGGTCTTCGGTAAAAGGTTGCCGTTCGTTTCGGAGTACATAACTGGACACCAAACACAGCGTTGTATGGGCAATCGTGTCCATTTGCTTCCCCTCTGGGCCCTATTGATCCACCCCCTGGAAGGACTAACTGAACCCGGGTGGAACGTCGACAGCAGTCCGCCACGGACGACGGATGTCACGCGTGCAATCTCATGGCTTTAGCGCAAATCATCATCATCATCATCATCTTCATCATCATCAACGACAGCATGACATCAGTGTTCAACACTACTGCTTCACTGCACTCTTCAAAAAAGCGGGCGAGTCCGTCGTGGCTAACCTGAGACTGTATTCCAAAATATCTGGAGTGAGAAAAAATTTCCAACAGGATAGAGAGCATCAACGGTGGATCACATGTTAAAAAAGAGTGCAAGGTTGTCTTGTGAAAACAACCGACGCACAATCTAGTGACTATCGCTTGCAAGACTTGCTTTGGCATTACCCAAAGTAGGTTGATCCGTCATTGTTCATGAAAGCCTCACAAAAGCCGTTAGATTGACCGAAGGGAAAGATAATCGCTCAGCTGTTATACCCTTTCGGCGTGTAGCTGCCATTCCACCCGAAGGAAGCACGAGGGCTAGGATACTGCCAGGTTACCCAAGCTTAAACAGGGGAAGTAGAGATGCAGAGGTCATAGTCGAATTATGGATCTTCCGGTCAGTAAATTCGCGCTCTAACGACTGAGCCATCTCGCCCCAATGAAAGAGAGCTGGACCGCTTCTGTTTCAGATCGGTGAGAGTTTCGAAAACACATTGAATCGATCCATTCGTTCGCATCTTTGCTCGAAGGAACTGTTCACAATACTTGTTGGCTCACGAAGTCGAGGGCCTAGGAAGAAGGCATAGAGCGGCCTGTGGTGTTATCAGACCTATTCTCGAAGCAGTCGTGTAGCGAATAGTAGGTTCCTTGTGCTACGATCAACATGGGATCAACATGAGCCCGCGGGGATGTGCTTAGATTTCCTACAGCTGTTACACGGCTGAGTGGCACTAAAGCCAGCGACTTTTCCACGCAAGTCAACAGGCTGATACCCGCTGAAATGAGGTCATGCCTTCTGTGTAAAGTGGTATGAGTATAGCAATTTTGAATTCTCGTTGAACTTCCTCGGCCTGTCAAATCATACCACCGGTTGAAGAATAGCATTCCCTAGAATCGGACTACCATACGTGAGCAGTTCCACTGCAAGTACGTCTTCTCCAGCTGCCTTGCTTAAGTAATCGTATGTTCGTCTAGTGTATCTCACCGACAGTCGGAAAAAGGTTCCGGGGCAGTCTAACCACTACAGTCCAGTCAACGCTTGATGATTGGTTCAGTAGTTATTTGAAGTGCCTGCGCCATATACCTAAAATTTCTAAAGGTGGCGTATGTCTGTCCCCTATTTGGGTCGGTTAGATGTTACGCCCACAGATGGCTCTCAAGCAATCGATAATTGTTTGTGGTGGCACGAAGTAGCGAATCTTTCGCTCTGCCCACTTTCTTTCCGGAGCAACTAGTCCTTGATGCGATTGAGTTGCTGAGATAAGTTGGTTTGAGCATTCTTCAGCTGCTGCTTCTGAACCTTATTGTCCGAGTGGATAGGAGATTCAGCGAGAGCATCATTCTGCTTAGTTGCCAGCTGTTTTATATGTTGAATTTTTTGCCAACACAAACGAACATTAACACGCACGGGTAAAAGAAATTACGTGCAAAAACTCGACATAATGTTCAGCTCATTTCTCGGGATTCTGTCATTGATCGTGCCAACGCGAGATGACCAACTTTCCCTAAGCTTGATCACGCAAATAAAAACACGTTCGGCTGTCAAATAGTTCTCATGGTCACCAAAGACACAAATGGAGTAAGAGTACTTACTGAATCTAACACGGTACCGCATGAGTAGTATAAAAGCTACAGGAGCGCATAGCAAGTAATCCGCAGAAAACAAGAGGTCTTGCTTGAACGACTGTAGGCAATTACAAAATATTTTGAGCCTCCGCGGTACACCCAACCTGACTGAACAATCCACGTCTCAAAACTTCTCATGTACTCAGTTCCAGTGGCCTTCGGACCTGATGAAAAGTGTTGCTCCATGAATTATGGATTGTTTTCACTGTGAAGCTTCACGAAGACAAGATAATTGCCCGCACGCGATCCGATCAACGCATCGGCTGCACAGTCCATAGATGGGTCACTAATTTCTGTACGAACAATGCATTGTCGCAGCCACTTAGGGTGAAGTTAGCAGAGATTGGGGTACAATCGCGGTCACACCTAATGCGGCCCTGGCAAATACCTTCACGAAACAAATAAAGAGACGTTTTTTTTCAAAACAGGATGCACAAAAAGAACAGATGGCTTCGTGTCCTTAAATAACACAAGTAAGAGCAAACCAAACTGCTGATCAGAGGCTCGTAGCTAATCGGTTGTGTTTAGTTTCTGGTTAGAAGGCCGAAGGTTCGAAACATCCCCGGTTTCGTGAGATGGGTACTACTGATGAGTCCCAATGAAGATGAAACAGCTATATACAGTGCTTCCCGGCTTTCCAGTATATGCAGACAGAATGAAGTGTAGATCGAGAACAAGACCAAAAATACATATTCTTTTCATGGCAAAAAATCGGTCGAAAATAAGGGCGGCCGAGATGGATACGACGGATACGATAGTCAGTTAAAGTAGTAGCTAGATACGTTTGTCACCGAGAACAGACGTGATGCATTTTTGACAATCTAGGATCAAAATAAATAAACGAACGGCTTGCAATCGACGTAATTCAATGCAAATACAGAAAGTATGTTTAACTGTGAAAAACTTACAGTTCTGTTTCTTCGCTTCCATTTTCTTTGACTTTGTTGTACTGAAGTCCTTGGATACATGAGACCGTTTACTGTCTGATAACTTGCGGTCACTGGTTTCGGTCTCATCAGCCGATACCTGCTTCCGAGGTTTTCCAACCGCATCAGACTTCGGTGGCTTGATTTTAGGAGAAGACGATTGGATCTTGGGAGTATGTATCTGTTCCCCATGTTTTGATGTGTTGGGGTGCATATGCTTTGAAGGGTTACGGTCGATTTTCTTGCGTTCCTTTTCTCTACACGAGCTGCTGGAGGAATGAGACGATGAGGAACGAGCATGTTGCTTTCGGAAATCCGTTGACTTATTTACAGAGCGCGATCGCGGAACGCCGGAATCAACTTTTTCCGGTGCAGTTTTGGAAGCTGAGGAAGGGCGGCCTGGTGAGGAGACACACTGTAGGTAGAGATGGAATGGGAGAAGAATAAAGCAAAAAACGTAAGGTAAACATATAGAGAGTGGAAAGTATAGGACATTACTAGATCGTTCAGCTATAATACCATTTTGGTGCCCAGTTCCCATGCCACCCAAACGAAACACAAGGGTTGAGATACTGTCAGCTTGCCCAAGCCTAGACAGAGGCTGAAGCTTGGTTCGGATCACAGACGTTCTGATCGGTAAGTTCGCACCTCAGTCACTGAGCACTCTTGAGCTCAACATTACCAGAAAACAAAAATCTTTGAATGCGGTAGTCTATGAGGACACTTAATATCTAAATCTATCGTCAAAGATGTGATCAAATGCCGAAGAAGCCCAGATATGCGCGGCACTGTGCATTTAACGGGACTAGTCAAGTAGGGTTAAGACAGGGCTAAGTTCCGCTACTTATAGAGGAAAACGAGAAATGGAAAAACGCGAACTGACAATAAAGATTTTCGCCGTCTGTGACTTGAATCCGAGGCCCGCGTTTTTCCTCCCAACAAACTTTTGTACTTCCTCCTCACCGAATGGAAGGGATCCCTATAGGCTCAAAACAGCTGTTAGATCAAGCTCCGACAACAGCCCGGTAAAATCACTTGCAGAGCAATATCAGGATACGTTTACAGCAAGAATTATCGGTAGTTGGGAGGTTTTCGCGATAAAGTAATAAACAATAATCGTTCAGCTGTAATACCCTTTCAGTACCTAGCTGCCATAAAACCCGAAGGAAGCACAGGGGCTGGGATACTGCCAGGTTGCCCAAGCCTAGACAGGGGAAGTCGAGAGGCAGAAATCGGGTTCGAACCACGGACCTTCCGGTTGGTGAATTTCCGCTCTAACCACTGAGCCATCTCTCGCGATAAAGTGGGGATGATACACACCGTACTTACCGTCCGTTCACGACTGACGGAGTCCTGTTGACCATGCTTCATTTGTGACTTTTGCTTGTCCGAGTTCTTATGTTTCTTGTGAGACCCAGACACTGGCCTGCCATGATCTGCGCCCGAAGCGCTGGAATCTGTGGATACTTTGGACGGACGAGACTTGGATACTGGACGTGAAGGGCGTGACCTAACAAAATCGATACTCTTCTCCGACCTGTCCGTGGAACTATGCCGAGACAACGGTATACATTCATCACCAGTATCCTCAAAGAGTTCTCCACCGATTTGACGCGGTTTTGATGTCAGGAGGTCTTCTGGATCATATGGTCTGCTTCCGGTACTCTCATTGGGAGAAGATGCAGGGTATCTAACGTCAACTACATGTGGTGTTGTATGCGCAGAAGACAATCGATCCTCATCGCCAAACAGGTCGACAGGGCTGCCTGGATTGGTAGACTCATGGCACTGAGAAAAGAGACTTCGTGACAGTGCATCTTCAAACTCTTCGTCTGGGTTGTCCAACAGTAGATGTGAGTGAGCACCATGTTCGAAAGGTGAACTAACTTTTGGGCTGTATTGGTTTGTTTGATCACCTAACAAATGAGATTCATCGTCCGATCCAAAAAGTTCGTGTTCAACAAACGGCCCGATGTGCCCGTGAAATTCTGATTCCGGTTGAACCTGCCCCATGCATTGAGAAGCTGTAATGCCTTCAGGGCTCAATTGACCTTTCCGAGATTCGCTCTCTAGCTTGACAAGGTCAGGAAGCTGATCACTCACCAAATTAGCCTTTGGTGATATCAGTGGACTCGGCTGATCCAAAGCATCAATGGCAGCGCGCTTCCCTGCTTTCAATCGTCTGTGCTTTTTCAACTTCCGAGGACTTTTCACATCAGCATACCCCGTGACAGGAGCTGCAGCAACTTCGCGGGTAAGGAGCTCATTGGGTTTTAAAGACGGATTTTCGGTTTTAGAATCTGATATCCCAAACTGTAAAAGTAACAAATACGAAATGCAGTGAAAGGGATGGGGGAACTTCGTTATCATTAAATCAAAGTATTCTACTCTTTACTAGGCAGACAAGTCCCAAAATCTGAAGCCGGCTTTGTATATTGCCGTTTCGAAGTTAAGTAAATGAGTACTCATGCGCTTACAGGCCACAGTTCGTCAATTCAAGCTTTTGGCGGTGCTGGTCTATGGTTGCGCTCAACAGGTGATAGAGTAAAAACTGCATGTCCATACACGGGCTCGTGAACAATCAGGGGAATAATTATGTTGCGCAGTGAAGGCATCATTTAAACACCACAGTATTCAGAGTTCTGTCATCTATCTCAGGCTCCTCGTGACTCTCAGCCTAAGACAAACGATCGCTATCACCTATGCGGATAGGCTGGCGTCAGTTAGGTAACTTCTTCAGCAATCTCATTCTTTCATCTTCTAGGTATTTAAAACAAACCTAAGATCGTTATTGGGCAGTGAAGCTTCAGAGTTATTGAAGCCATCCAGCGTTTAAACACAATCTATCCTGGCGGATCCATCTTTGCAATCAACCATTCACTGTTCATAGAGCTGGCGCCGATAATAACAGGGTGACGTAAGGTAAGAAACAATAAAGTTTTGGCGGTATCTACTCGCAGGTTTTGTTCCTATCACAAAACACAGACCAAGAATGAATTTATTCCTTTTAGCTTGCGCTTAATTCACCTGTAGCAGATACTGAACCCACACAACCCTTCATAAAGTCAACCGGTTCAATAAGTGGGTGGCATCATTCCATCCCGAAAGACTTATGTTAGCTTCTCTCTAATAATTTACAGACGTACAGAAAGAGCCAGCCACCTGAGTGGGAAGAATTTTTGGGAGGGTTGGTCATGCATGATGGTGTGCTTAGTAAATGCCCAAGCTAAGGTAAAGAGGATAACGGCCACAGTAAACCTGAAGACGATTAAATAACGATCGGTCAACATATACTTACAAAAATACCACGAGGTAAATGGCCTTTTATTTAAATGTCGACGTCATACTCTCAACCTATCAACGAGAAGCGACTAGCACAGTGGATTAAAAACTGAAATACTGGCGACACAAGCAGACACCATCCGGGGAGTGCAACTTAGTGAAGTTAACAGTGCGAGCACAAATTCGAGCGGCAACGTAGGAAGGATAACATCAACCCGACTGCATCTGGTTCAAGCAGCACCACAGATGTAGTAGGGGGTTATCTATCGATAGTGTGTTCATAGAATGGAAACTTGCACCTAGAACCGGTAAACTAATAGTGAGTGGTGTTTGTTCCCTAGATTAAACTTTATTCACAAACTAAATTGACCCTAAAAGTAAAGCTCTTCCCAGTCTATGAGTCACTGAGCAAGGAAAAAGTTCACACAATTGGGTCGTGATCAGGAACAAAATGAACAACATATACCTGAAAAAGTAAAAATATCCTAGTTAGTCCCACATTCGAGAACGGCTGATCAACCTCACGTATGAGCGTGTGAGGACGTAAGAAAGCAAATGAATTCACTTAAAAAACTGATTATCGGTCATCCAACTGACAGTGGTTCAGTATCAAGCAGACGCATTTTTCCGATAAGCCACAACCATCAACCGTGATAATCCAACATTATGCACTAAGAGAGAATTAAGTAAAAGAGCACACCCTTATCCTGGTCCGCTCTATGACTAGGGTTAGAAAACCTCCACTCCATTCTCAAGTCTGGAATTTTCCCCTTCCTATTTCCATTCCCCTATACTTCATACGAGATGTTTGTGAATCAAAGTGCTTTATATTATTATCTAGGTTGGGAAGCATAGGACGGGGAGAAATGAACTCGGAAACGACAATCCTTAAGATGATACTTAAACCAAGAATGAGAAGATATTGTGGGTATCATGGGGACGGCGAAACATCGCACTGATTTTCTAAACACACAGCAAACGAGTTCATAACTTAGACAACACAGACGGGGGTTCATCACAGTGCGATTCGACTAACCATGATAAAGCGTGTCTGACGAACATCCAAGTTGCGGACAACGACCACCAATTTTCGTGCCACAAAATACTAACCTGTCTGGCTTTTTCTTCTTCCAAGCGTGCCTGCTCTCGACGTTGCTCTTTCTTTCGCCGCCGACGTTCCTGGCGTTCATCCATAGTATCTTGACCTTCAAGATCTGAGGAGGCTACCACTAACTGATTTTTGGAACCCAAACGTGACAGTTTCAAAACGATACGTTTCACCGGGGAACTAGGCTCCGCAGTTTCAAAACCTGATTTGCGATCAGGTAAGGAACCAATATCGTTTTGATCTTTGCCAACAGAAAGGTTGTTCGTTGACAACAGAGGCTCCATTTCTTCTTGGTCACCCGCCGAATCCAGGGGAGGAGCGCCTTTTGAAGGAGTGGGGATATCTGGAGAAAGCGGCATCAGGTTGTACTGAGGACTACCAGAACCAGGCGCGGTCACTGGTCGAGAAGATGCCCATTGTGATTGGCGCTTTTGCGCATCTTCTAGCAAGAGCTGGGCTTCGTGCAGCAGTTGTAGTTTCTTTTTGTGTTTTTGCGGCAGAGGCCTTTGGGCTAACAGTCGCTCAACAGAGAGAACTGATTGGCGGGGGATATCGGGATCGGAATGAGTAAGTGAACCAGAACAGGTTTCGTCCTGGTAATCAAAACAGTAGTCTTGTCCAGCTGATTGTCGTCCAACTGTCTCGGGATAGAACGGAACGCTGTCAGAGGGTTTGCAAGCTGTGGAACCCACACTAGCTGGCGATAAGGAGTGTACATCCTGTACCAAAGATAGTGGGGGTGGGTGTGATTTAGGCACAAACAAAAAATCAATTTATTAGTCTAGTACCGGAAAAGTGCACTAGAAACGTAGGACTGAAAGCTACCTACTGCATCCTGGATATAAACCTGCAGAGGTTGGATGACAAAAGTTATCGAAAAATTACAAATTGACGATAGATGATGAGGGTGATACAGAAACTGAACTAGTGAGCAAAGATGGTCTGAAATATTCAGGTGATTGAGGAGCAAGTGTCATCCTTTTATCTCCAGTCTGTTTACACATGTTGTGCACCAGAGAAATTTATGGTGCGGTGCCGTACCTTCAGAAAACGAGCTGCAGTTGGAATACGCAAGTGTGAGCAGACTGTGACAGTGAAACTAAATAAGTTTCTTCTAGAAAAAAATTTATCCCAATCTACCAACTAGTACCGACTGAAATCCACTCTAACACAACTTCCTATAACCTCCTCAACCTACCTTCAAAGAGACCAGGCGGAAATAGGCATCAAGTACAGTATAAAAAACGAAAGACCTTGGTGGTAAGGATAAACTATACGGGTGAAATGGTGGCGGTGGCAGAAACACATGATAAAGCTCTGAACCGAAGTCTAATCTCCCAAGGCCCACCCCGCGAATGATTAAAAGACGCTAGAACTCTTCACAAATTGGGAGCGGATAGCGATAAACACAGGAACTCACTTGTTCTGAACGATCTCGTAGATGGGGAAAGAAAGAGTAGGAGTGCATTGACTCCAGATTGTTGCATGACTGAATGGTTTGGACAACCTTGTGGATATCCGCGGGTGTATTGGTGCGTGGAATGACAATCTACAGAAAATACAGGTCGGAATATGGATAAAGGATGACAAGGTGAGTACAGAAAGCTTTTCTTGCGGTAGGATGGCAGGCAAACAGAATCAAACTAACTGCTGTATCTTGGATGACGACCTAATCAGAGGTGAAATGCCACATGGTGGAATCCAGTCAAATGTTTGTAATTTTAAATGACCTGGAGTTGTGAAGCGGCTTGAAATGAAACATTGGTCCTCGTTTCACAAGACATGAAACTCCGATATTGAGCAAGTAATGAGGACGAGGACTTCTTCCGCTGTGTGGTCAGCTTTCCACCACCAAGTCCAGCGATTCTGATTGTGAGCAGTTGATCTAAACAGGAAATTCCGCTACAGTAGTTGCTTACAACGCTTTAAGTATGTTTGCTCATGATCAGAAGTGCACAACTAAAAAACACACTGGCAGAACTGACCAATGAAATAATCTCATCTAACCACGATCAACATCCGCTGTCACGCGATTATCGACCACCGTGTCAAGAATGTTTTCATATGCAGGCGAAGCTTTTTAAGCACTTCAGACAACAGAGGCTCTCTGGTCACCGTTTTCACTGATGGCGAGAACACCCTGACATATTTCGATCCATTATTTTTCATCATGTGACACAATAACATGATTCAACACAGAAGCTTTACCATTTTAGACAAATAAATGCGGGGAATCAGCTACAAGCCGTGTGCTGATGAACACTGGTTCTAACTAGCAGGCCTTTATCTGCCAACGACAACGGGATTGGAAGTGAGGATGGCTGTTATGCGAAGGCGACAGTTTGCAGTGGTTCGCTGGAGATATGCGCTGATAGGGGACAAACTGAGGGTGCAACTATAAGCGGGTCCTTTGGAAGACGGTGCACTAAAGACGATAGTTCTGATACAATAGTATAATTGATAAGGCAACAGGATTGATTCCTCCAGCAAATCCCAACAGGACCGATCTCAATCGGATGGGGCTTAGGCGACGCTCCTTTTGGAATGCCACTTGTAAGTGTAGAGGATCTCCCAAAGATCAGAAAGCACAGGCCGACTTGTTAGGGAGCATGTCAACACAATAACACCTGTGTACAACAAGTCATCCTCTTGGGCACTAAACACACGTCGCGAAGGGACTCGCTCGACCTTATGTGGTGCACAAGTCTGCGTACGTTAGTATCTCGCCGAGCCGTAGTGGAGGACGTCCTTGCAACATCGACAGTCTTTTTGACAGGCTAGTCAAAGGATAGAGATGCGACAAATGCAATCTTCCGACCTGGAATCGAAACAAGTGTTATAATTTATTTCGTAGTAGTACGGACTAGTCCGACAACTACGCCGATAGCCGTGGTCTTCCGGTCAGGCTTTCAAGTCACAGGCTTCGGTTGAAAGCAAAAATCGTCCTCCTATCATGGTCTCGGAACCTTTGCAGTATCTCAGCCCACATGCACTCATACGGTGCATAAACAGAAGCACCCTGATGGCAAATCGGCCGTCTAGAGATGACGTCAATCAAAGCGCCTTGCTTGAAGAATATAGCAAAGCGATAGGCAAAGATATAACATTGTTGATTTCTTCTGTCCTCTTTATTGTTGTCTCTTAACCCCTGCTTGATACTCACTAATATGCAGGTCCCAGCTACAAGTACGTCAAACAGACACAAATCTGTCAGGAATATTATATTCCTGAAAATAATCTCAGAATGTCCGAAACTTACTGAGACCCTAAAACCCCACCAAAATCGTAGTGGGGAAGCCGCAAAGCAATCGGGCCAGAAAAGCCAGCTGCGGGTTGGATGCGATTGACCATGGTGAGTGTTCGGGCACGTCATACAGGTAACGCCAACCAATCACCCAACGCCGATCGGGCAGTCTGGATTCAAGGTTAGGCGCTTTAAACAATGCGGTACTCCTTGTGATTTTTGCACTCGCGTGTTCACGATAAGGCTATTTGTACCTAAAAGTCGGTGAGCTTTTTTACGACACCTAAGTACTAGAGCGGGTATTGCAGTTAGTTGCAACAACATGGAATTGGTATGCTGCACACCATGGCTCATACATATCACTCCACGTCTACTAGTCAAGTCTCGTTCTGTTTTTTAGTGCAATCTTTCATCCATGAACCCTTAGACAGATCAATCAACAAGGAGCTTCCGCACATACTGTACACATTTCGTCAACATCTGCAGCATCCTTGAAACTCGAAATCAATATGTATGTACACCAACTGAGCCCCAGGCACTTGCTTTGTCTCAGTGAAAAAGTTGCGCCCGTGTTAATATGACCCTCAGTTCAAAATGTGGGGTATCATCACTGGACTTGAGACGCGCAAGCAATTAAATTTGGGCTGTCGGACTACCCAATTCAGTGAGAATTCGCACCGGTCGAACTACCGAACACTCTTTGTTTGTCATGCACCAATAAACTGTAGCTCAGATTCGCTGAAAGACAGCTTATATCAAAAACTGATCACCATCTTGTCTGCCACGAGGAGCCCGGATATTGTCATAATGACAGAGGATTCCAACGCACATGTAGGACACATTAGTTCATCAGAAACACGGTTGTACGCGTAAGCTAGACGCAAAACGCAATGGTAATGGTGAAGGTTTTCTGTTAATTCCCTAGAGAACTTGGCTTGGACGCAATAGGTGCCGTTCTGCTACCTGGAGTCAGCCTGATGAAGAGCAACTCTGACGCCAAACTGGCCAGTTACCGATGGCGCGCTTTAGTTCTCGTTCAGTCTAACAGCTATAAGCCATATGCTTAGGGTAGGCTGGTTTCGGCTACTACAGTTTCGGTTAGCAGAAAATAGGAGCGTGGGAGATACAGCCAAGCATTGGAAAGGATGGCATAGTGAGTTAGGTCGTATGAATTCGCCTAGTTATTTGGAAGAACGGAAAGCTAGAGAAAGTTAATCGTGTCCTAGCTGCCACGCCAACCGAAAGAGACACGAAGACCGAGACACTGCTAGGTTTCCCAGGCCTAGATAAGAGCAGCATCGATGCCAGGGTAGAGACTGAATTACGAACCATCAGGTCGGTAGGTTCGCGCCCTAACCAACAAGCCGTTTTGCTAAGAGTCTGGATCAAGCAACATAGCTGGGGATAGAGTATTGCCACGATCCGCATATCATATTGTTTTGCTCGCAGCGTGATCGAACCGTAACATATTTGGTGACGCAAGATGGAGGCAGAACAACTCAAAGTAATGTTTGAGCAACAACTGCAACTCATCAAAGTACTTACGGAGCGACTATCAACTACATCTTTGGCTTCACCCGCTGCGTCGAGCGTCCCACAGTCGGTTGGTGGAATCGCTGGCAGTATCAACGAATTTTGCTATGAACCCTCAGCTGGCATAACGTTTGATGCTTGGTTTCGTCGCTATGAAGACCTGTTCAGGGTCGATTTTTCACTTCAAGATGATAGTTGGAAGGTTCGCCTCCTGCTCCGCAAACTTGGACCCGCAGAGCATGATAAGTACGCTAACTATATTCTGCCAAAAAACCCGCGCGATTTCACTTTTGATGAAACGGTCAACACGCTTTCACAAATATTCGGTGAGCAAACGTCACTTTTCAACATCCGTTATCGATGCATGAAGCTAGTGAAGAGTGATGCAGACGACTTCCTCACATATTCTGGCATCGTGAACCGAGAATGCGAACGGTTCAAACTCGGATCGTTAACGGAAGATCAGTTCAAGTCGCTGATTTTCATATGTGGTCTACAATCCCCGAAGGATGCAGAAATCCGTACCCGACTCCTCAGCCGCATCGAGCAGGACCCATCCATGACGCTGCAGGCCGTCACCTCGGAGTGTCAACGGTTGCTTAACCTGAAGCATGACACCGCGATGGTCCAACTCGGGGGTCATGGCGGTTCCGAGGTTCATGCAATACACCAGGATACGCAACAGCCTGGCCCTGTCAATTCTGGCCCAACCAAATCGACCTCGCAGTGTTCTGGTCCGAAGCAAAACAAAGGCTCAAAGAAGACACCACCTTCACAATGTTGGCACTGTGGAGCCTGGCACTTCGTCAGGTTCTGTCCTTACAAGAAGCATCGGTGCCGCCAATGTAAGTCCGTGGGACACAAAGATGGATATTGTCAGTCACTGATGCATACGGCCTCTGCTGTTTCAAAGCAATCATCACGCATCCGTCCCAAACCGAAATCGAACCCTGTTGGCTCCTCTCTCAGTTTGCTGGCTACTTTCCAGATCAACACGCCAGGTAACCGGAAGTATCTGACAGTCACCGTAAATGGTCATCCAATCCGTCTGCAGTTGGACACTGCGTCGGACATTACCATCATTTCGGAGAGGCTTTGGCGCACGCTCGGGCAACCTCCGATCAGACAAGCAGCTCGAACTGCAACCAGTGCCTGCGGTGGAGAGTTAAAACTTTCCGGTGAGCTCCAGTGCTGTGTATCTTTTCGAGGAACTACATTTGTGGGGTCGTGTTATATAACGGCAACTGAGTTGAACCTATTGGGTCTTGATTGGTTCGATCGCCTTGGGTTAGCCGACATTCCAATCAGCGCCGTTTGCAATGCAGTTCAGTCTCCTACAGCGCATCCAGATCATGCATCCGACATTATGGAGCGATTTCCAATTGTTTTCCAGTCCGGTCTCGGTCAGTGCACTGCGACACAAGCAGTCCTCCACCTCGTGCCGGGAGCTACGCCAGTCTTCCGTCCAAAGAGACCAGTTCCGTACGCTTCCCTCCCACTGGTAGATGCCGAACTTCAACGGTTGGAAGAACAAGGCGTTCTGTCCCCTGTATCCTACTCTGCCTGGGCAGCGCCGATCGTTGTAGTAAAGAAACCTAACGGTGGCATCCGCATATGCGCCGATTTCTCAACCGGCCTAAATGCAGCTATCCAGCAGCACCATTATCCACTACCAGTACCCGACGATCTATTCACTGTTCTGAACGGTGGGAAGTTCTTCGCCAAAATCGACCTGGCTGAAGCGTACCTTCAAGTTGAAGTCGCACCAGAATCACGCCCACTACTGACAATCAACACACACCGCGGGCTGTATCAGTACAACCGTCTTCCGTTTGGCGTCAAAACCGCCCCAGCAATTTTCCAGCAATTGATGGACACCATCCTTTCTGGCATTCCAGGTGTGGTCGCATACCTGGACGACGTGCTGATCGTTGCTGTTTCCCCCGAAGAGCTTCGTGAGCGAATCAATGCCGTCTTACTGCGCATTCAGGACAATGGCCTCCGCCTCCGTCCCGAGAAGTGTCAATTCTTCTTGACAACTGTGAAATATCTTGGGTTCATTTTTGACGCCTCTGGTCGCTATCCTGACCCGGAAAACGTTCGAGCTATACAGCAGATGCCACCTCCTAAGGATGTACCATCATTACGTTCCCTTTTGGGGTTAATCAGCTACTATTCGGCATTCCTGCCTTCGTTGCACGACATCCGGCCCCCGCTAAATCGGTTGCTTGGAAAGGATGTCCCCTGGTGTTGGTCAGACGAATGCGAGGAAGCATTCTGCAAACTAAAGACGATGCTCAGTTCTGATCTGCTACTTACCCACTACGACCCAAAGCTGCCGATCGTTGTGGCAGCTGATGCCTCTAATTTTGGTGTCGGTGCCGTCATTCTACACGTCTTTCCAGACGGATCGGAGAGGGCCATTATGCATGCGTCGAAATCACTAACCCCAGCAGAACAGCGATACGCACAGATAGAGAAAGAAGCGTTGGCCTTAGTGTTCGCGGTTCGGCGTTTCCACAAAATGTTGTATGGCCGCCGTTTCACCCTACTTACCGATCATAAACCATTGCTCTCCATTTTCGGCTCAAGGAAAGGTGTTCCCGTACACTCTGCCAACCGCCTGCAAAGATGGGCCCTGATTATGCTGGGTTATGACTTCGATATTCAATATCGACGCACCACCGACTTCGGTCAGGCCGATGCATTATCTCGGCTGATCAACAACCAGCCAACACCCGAAGAAGACACGGTTATTGCGCATGTTGCATTTGAGGACCCAGCCGACCCACAGTTGGTCCAGTCCGTTCGTGCCCTGCCCGTGACAGTAACAGAGGTTCAAAGAGCTACCACAGCTGATGGAACGCTTCAAAAGGTGATCCGATTCATGAATTCTCGGTGGCCTTCGAATCTCAAAGATGATTCCCTTCGACAGCTCTTTTATCGCCGAGATGCATTAGCGATCGTAAAAGATTGTTTAATGTTTGGAGATCGCGTGATGATTCCTCAATCTTTACGCCATCGAGTTCTTCGTCAGTTTCATTCTGGACATCCAGGAATCAACCGTATGAAGTCAATAGCTCGCAGTTACGCATACTGGCCGCACATGGACCAGCACATCACTGATTTTGTAAAACGCTGCTCCCGATGCCAACAAGCTGCAAAGAATCCGCCACATCAACCACCGGTTCCCTGGCCTCGACCTGAGAAGCCCTGGTCTCGGATCCACATTGATTACGCAGGACCGATACGTGGCACTTTTTATTTGGTTTTGATTGACGCTTTTTCCAAGTGGCCAGAAATCGTTCCGGTGTCATCTCCAACAACATCTAGTACGCTGCGAGTGTTAGGGGGAGGGCAGGTGAGTGGAGTCGCAAGGGCGAATGATACTGCACGGCTGCCCAAACCGAACAAATGGGCTTGGTTGAGGTACCCCACCATAGGCCATTCACCCAAAAGTCCGACCCATAAGTCAGTGGAAGGATGCAGGGTTTGTTCGAGGACCCTCCCCTAGCTTCTGACTCAAAACTCTTAACCAAGAAGCAGCGATCGTTAGGGTTGCCTTGAGGAACCCTGCCCGAAGACAATGACTCAATTGTCTGACCCATTTGGCTGTAGGGTGTTGGCCTGGCCTGAGGATACAGAGGTAAGGCATTACTGTCACACTGTTAAGGCGGATGAGCACAGCATGCGCCTTTTGAGCAGTATTAGACTCTTCGATTTTAAAAGCATTTTTCCACCGTATTGAATAATGCACCGGCAATCACTTTCAACCGCTGAGCGATCGGATTTTAGGACCGATGTTTTCTAACCCGTTCTCCATTCTGGGGGGGTAGCTTCACTGGCATGGTTGAACCTTAGGGAATTGAGTTCCAGACAGGACCACTGCAACACAGAAGCTCGACCACCACGACAAGGTGACGGGTTTACGTTGGGCTACTCACCAAGACCTCACCATCTTCTTCGACAATTGCGGGGTGCAGACAACCCGGGTCGGGTGTTTCGTCATGTTGCATGAATAATGTCTCGCGGGAGATTTTTGCTGCTGATGGTAAGCTAGTATCGACGTTCCATTCAGGTTCGTTAGGATCTTTAAAAGTTTGTGCTGAAGGATTCCAATTAGACTCCTCTTCATTAAGTTCATTCTATCGCTGAACAAGACAAATCTGCAAATGAACCACCGTTCCATCTTTTACACGAAACAATTCGGTAGCACCTGTCCTTTTCAGGTCGATTGATTGAATTACCTGTTGTCTGAAGCAAAAGTCCTCCCCACCTCCTAGACCATTTTGTCATGATTCACGCTCTTGACTATCGAGTGTTTGAAGGATCCACGTGCGCCATCGTGCTCGCCAGTTGCTGGTATGGCTTTTCTACAGATCACTCCGGATCTCATTTGGTCCAGTCGGTGGCTTAGAGAGACAGTTCTGAAAACTAGAAGCATACCTTCCATCACTCTTCCATTCATTCTCCAACCAATCTTCGTTATCAGTGTGACTGTGGGTTTCCAGTAGCTTCCCGGCCATGTCAGCTTGAACCACTGAATCTCGCTTACATTCAACGAACTTCGTAATTCTGAGCAAAAGCGAACCGGTAACCGAAGCTGCACAATGACAGGATTGGAGTGAAGTTGCGCACCGCAGACGTAATGCCAACCTTTGGTTGAGGCTCTTCATCGGTGACTGACGGCCACATGATTCAAATGATTCAATGACTGGCTTGCGGTTGGTGGCCTTAAGGCGGCTTGATGTGGGCACTGGTGGTCATATAAATCCCGTTTTTCGAAAGAAACAGCCAGGACAAGAAAAACACACAAGGACTGCTCGTCCCTAGAGTGAGTAAAGCGTTACATGCATATATATGTTATATAGATAACGTGTGGTCGGATAAAAAGGCAGTCACGACCGGTTCTAAAGATAAGTGTGGAATGAAGTAAAGATGATCTCAGTATGTACAAGCGAAGCTAGATGTAACGAGCACACTAATGATGCAACCTACGCCACCCAGCTGGATCATCCTGTCCCAGTCCTCTGGAGCGGGGATCACACGGACCGTGCGGTAGGTGTGAAGCGCATTGTTATCGAACAGCCTTAGATCGTAAGTGAATGTCGTCACGCAGTCCAGGAAGGCCACCTCGATTTGAAGTTGAAAGTGACCAAAACCATCCTCCTCAATAGCGAACGGAGGCTGTCGAACAACTGAAACGGAGATTCAAAAAACGTGCCAAATCAAGGTAGTTATTTCCAGGGTCATCGCGGTAATCGATATACACTGGACGACCAGACAATAACACCAAGTCTTTTCCGCCAACAATGATTTCCGCCCTAGAAAGGTTAGTTAATTTACTTTACAAAGACATAGTGTCCGGCGATAGGATACGAGTAGACGCATTTACAAAGCGGGACGATTTTCCAAAGACCACAAAGACGAAAATACACATGGAAACCGGTTGCTAAGCCGGACTTCTGCACAGGTTCCTGACATGTTTGTGTGTTCCATGCAGGAGCCAGTTACGGCCAGTAATAATTAAGGCACAAGTACTTCCGTAGGTCCTACTGATCATGAATTCGGAAGCAAATTTACCAAAAACAGTTGCACCGGAGGGGCTACATCAAGTGCATCATTAACAAATGCGAATCACTCTAGTTGAGTGACTTACGTATACGGCGACTAAAAGTGTTCCGATACCACAACACCAAGATGACTTTAACAAGTTAAAACAAGGATTTTGAGCAACACAAAGGGCGGCAACTTACAAATACATGGCAAATCGCCACCTACACAGCCGTCGGGAGATATGAGTATCCGCGTCCATCTGGTCATCCATAACTCAAACTATAGTAGGCTACTAAAAGCAGCCCGAAACCTTTTTTTATAACACCAGGGTAGAATGGTTTCAGGAAGTCTCCATTCCGTAAAAGTGAAAACCGAGGTAGTCCAGCATTCAGCCAAGATCTCTGCAGCGACCTGTCCCAGCCACTTGATGACCGTCAACCCAACCCATGGGTTTGTAGTAAACACCGCACGGGAGCCTAGGGATCGGGTGGTGATACCTCCCCGGATAACACCTTAAGTTATCAACAGTCCGAATGTATCTATCACCTTTAGCAGGTTACTTAAAGATGCAATTCGACAGATTAAGGCACATCATATTTCCTCCTAAGGTTTAGGTCCTATCACTATTGTGCTAAGAAGCAACTAATGATACAGTGTCCACTTCTCGCAGCAGCCCAAGCGACTCCTTCGAGTAGTTTACGGAGTATGAAAACATCGCATCAGATGATCACTGCACTCAAAATGGCCTTTGATATTGATGAAATTCTACACTCGATAAGACAATTGTTACGCCTAAACAAACATCGGTAAGCTCCTTCGCTGACCTCATTCACTTGCCTTACGCCACCAAAACTCACTTCCCCGTTCGGCTCAGTCGTTTGTACTACTATTTTGCCAACCTACTATATGCCAACCCGCATGGTCAGTGACAAGTAAATCCTCCTCAGAAAAGTACCTCAGTTACCTAAATGGTCTTTCATCCGATCACTGGTGAACGACAGGACGACACTCTATTCACGTTCGAGAAATTCTCATTAACTTAGTGAAGGGGCACTTATTGTGTTGAGATTCATACATTTACTAAAGGACGGATCACAACTGAGAGTAAATTCTCTTGTTTCAGTGGGCACCTAAAGTAAACTGAAGCACAATGAATAGCGGAAATAAGAGTATTCTTCGCCGGATGACTCACACTAGAGGAATAAAATAAAATAAATAAATCGTTCAGATGTAACATCTTTTCGGTGCCTAGTTGCCATGCAACTCGAAGGAAGCACGAGGGCTGAGATACTGCCAGGTTGCCCAAGCCTAAACAGGGGAAGTCGAGAGGCAGAGGTCGGGCTCGAACCACGGACCTCCCGGTTAGTAAATTCACGCTCTACCAACTTGAGCCACCTCGCCCCACACTAGAGGAAACCTTAACCGATGGCATGCATTTGAAATAGATCAGCTGGTCCCCATAAATAAAGCTTCTAGAGGAACATCCGTCTGACGACGGAAACGAACGATAATTATAAAACGGGTTACAGGGGTTTTCCTAAAAGTTATGTTGTGAATAAATTAGGATGTGGTAAAAATATGACGAGATGATTCACCTTGTCGCGGGTTTTCGAAGGTATCGTGCAACCAAAAGGTCACCTTTCTAACCAATGCTGATAGAGGGTAATTTGGGTTCCAGCTATCGACGTAACACCGCCAATGATGTGTTCGATTGGACAACGGTTTAGCACGGCGTTGGACGCTATGACCAACTTTGAAGACAAATAGGATCTGCGAAAAGACAAACAAAATACGGATGCACAGTACAGGGATGATAAAACTGACGCCTGAATCAAAAGGGTATTAGGCTTGGCATAGCGGATTTATAGTGGACAAGTTCTCAATGAGTTGAATTTACAAGCCAGATTCAAATCCAGCGAGTTTCGGGATAGGTCAGTTGCTGAGTCATTGACACACGAATCGTGTACCACGGGTGCGATCGAATCAACTGCCACAGTTTCGTCTTACCATTAATGGGAGAACAGAGCGAAGCCACAGTGGAAGGAACTAATCGGTGGTGTTAAGTTGTTCTGCTTACTGAAGGCTAAAACATCGGTGCAGTGGCGACACAGTTTGTATGAATGGACTACGCCTATTGTGTCCAGTACCCATCAGTTTGTTGACAGTCCGAGAGACTGTGCAGGGTCTTTAACTCTGGTCATGCGCGATGACCATAACAAGTAAACTCAGAAAACTCCGTGTACTTAAGTTCAACTGAAGGCGGGTCAGAATTCGAATCTTTCAGTGGCCACTGAAAGTGACATTTTAGATACTGAGAGCAAGTAGGAGCGAACTGTCTGCGCCTTATTCTATTATCCAACGGATTGAAGCATCGTAGCATACCACACGCTGGAAGTGCATAAATCCATATTTTTAGCATGATCGCTCTTCACGAGGACGTGTCTAATTTACCTTGCCATATTGACAAGTACACTAAAAAACAGCAAAAAATAAGATTTAGGTAGCCGAGTTGCAAATAATCGCTGGCTACGTAACGCCCCCAAATGTCCCCGCACCCACCTCTTTTACTAATGCCCAATAATCTATGAAAGTCCAACGCAGATCAGCACTTAAGGCTGAATGTGGTTGACCACAGAACGCAAATCGACAGCGCGCCCCATTTTAGTTGGGCCCGAGTTAACTATATATTTACAAAAATGACCAAACTAGGTTAGTGGAACAAAGTTAAACAACTGCAGGATATTTCTTAAAACCACTAAATTTGGTCAAAACGATGAGTAGCCTGAAGAAACTCAACTCATTCACGTCCTAATGAGTACGGTTCACTAAGCTTCTAAATAAGAAAATAAAAATTCAATCATCAGACGTCTAAATCAAGCTAGAAAACATGAATTCAGAAACTACAATAACTACATCATACGAAATCCAAGCATGAGCTCTCCAAGGCCGCACACATTATTGGAACAACAGTCTATATAGACCACAAGTGCACCATATTCAGACAACCAGTATCCCTCACGTTAGGTAACTTACAGGGGGATACAGGGTTCTGATAAACCTTGCATCGCTGTATAGGAATGGTAGTCTATTCAGTGTGCAGCCAGCATAAATAAAGCAAACCATAGTTTAGAAAATCCGAAGTCCTCTCGGAAGAAAATCGAAACTACCGAAACGAAGTAATCATATTCAACAATCGGAAAGAGACCGGTTATTACCAGAATGGCTACGGGGGTTCCTGATTACCTATCATTAAGCTCCATTAGGCGATGGTGAAATATCGCTCGTAATAGATGTTTGGAATAAGATAGTGAGTGGCGCGAAAACATACCAGTTAGCTAACCGAACAACTTTTGGATACTATGCCAAATTCGTAGTGAAGTTGGTAGAACCAACCAATTGAGAAATTCCGGACAATGCATAATTCCCATTTGTCCGTGCGATCAGTTTCACAAGGATGGTAGACGCTGTTTATTGAGTGTCCTGACTACATAAACCATACCTTTGCACACACCACTAACTCGTAATCCTCATTCCATATTTCCAGCTCATGTACTACCGTCATTAGACGATTAAAGCGTACACTACGCCCTTCTATTGTCTTCGTTCTAATCTAGACCTGGAACTACTCGACTCTAGCAACAATTCAATCGTCCAACAAAGAAGTGGATCATATTCCCCGACCCACGGCTTTTGATGCCGACCCTCATTCATCAGATGGCACGAAACGATGGACTCACTGGTTTCGTACCGTCAAAGCTCACATTAACTCAACCGGACCTGAATGTCTAAATAAACTGGAAGCTCTCATACGTCACACTGACCATACAATGTATGAATTCATTGAAGCATGTAGCGACTACCGTTGTGCGACAACCTTGCTGGAAAAACTTTATATTCGCCAGAAAAAATATTGTGTAAGAACACCATATTTTGGCTACATACAAACAAGAACCTGGTCAAGATGTCGACCAGTTCGTTCAAAAACTGAAGTCATATACTAGAGAGTGTAAATTCAGAGCACTATCTGCTGTGGAACGTACAAGCGAAGCAGTCCGAAATGCCTCGATAACCGGACTGCATTCTCCATTCGGGAGAAACTGCTAACGTGACATGAATTGGACCTTGGCAAAGCCCACAAAGCTACAGGAGCTCTACAACTTGCACAAAAACAATCGCAATCATACGTATACAGACAACCCGTTTCATGTCCTATGTCTGCTCCTTCGTCCATTGTGAACTCCGAAACATTTTCTGCCGCTACACAACAAACATGTTACTTTTGTGGAACCCCAAGCACCCTCGTTTTACGTGTTCCGCTACAAAATCAGTGTGCAAAATTTGTGGGAGAATTGTGCCTTTTTGTTATATCTGCTGATTCGCCGGCCTGTGGTATCTGCTGCTGGCCCGCTCCAGTGCCTAGTGTCGGAGAGAAAAAGGCTCACGGAAGGGAACACAATAGCTATATTCCAACAAAGAGGTTGCGACAGCGCGAGTGCGAAAAGTACAACGGCCTCAAGCTTTTTATTGGAAGGACACTGTCTGAACTTGGTCCAATGATGACGCACGCGGTCTGGCTTTAGTACGAGGCAGCGACGTGCTGCATATTGCGGAGGCGCTCTCTGTCCTTGATCAACGCTGACCCGCGCTGTCTGGGTTTGATGCAAGGCTGTGACGCGCTGCATATTGAGGGAGCGTTGTCTGTCTGGTCAACACCCAGCGGAGCTGAGAGTCTCCGTAGATTCCGGGCATTCAGTGGTTGCTTTCAGGAAGCTGACCTTCGTGATACTTTTAAAAACGCGTCTGTAGGTCCGAAACCTCGAGGTATCACGTGGGTTCAGCTAAAGAGTCCTCAGTCTCTTCGTTATTATGTCCCGCTGCTACCAATTGCCTATCCAAAACTACAACGGACATTTCGGTCAACGACATTGTTGTCCAACTCCTTGTTGATACTCAGGTCCAGAAGTTTCGTTTATTCATCAATCCTACAAACTATTAACTGGAAAATATTTTCATACGATTCTATGATAACAATGACGTGGACGATACATTCCTGTTCTACCAAAGGTTACTACCTTGTGTCCGTTCAGTACAAGGATGCTACATGCGAACGGTTTAATCTCTGTGTATATTACCGAACCTCTGTACGGACGTTCATCTCGGACCTGACTTCCTGGGGTTACATGATAAAGTTGAAATTCCATTCGGTGGCCAACGGGACAACCTAACTGTATGTGGCGTATTATCCGCGAAACTAGGATCTCCATCCTTATTCACTAGTCTTGCTGCGAAGTAAAAACGGACCGCCACGAAATCTTGTCGTCATAAATCGGGAGATGAACAGCTCATACTAACCGAAGTAGACCAAATGCTCACCCATGGCACAATCGAAGCATCGAATTCCCCATGGAGAGCACAGGTGCTCGTAACGCGCAATACGAATCACAAGAGAAGTATAATGATAGACTACAGCCAGACCATCAATCGGTTCACCTACATTGACGCTTATCCTTTACCAAGATTGGACCAAATGATTGAAACCATGGCACGCTATACCGTCTACAGTACACTGGATCTCCAGAGTGCATATCATCAGGTACCAATAGTCGAGTCAGATTAGCCATTCACAGCATTCGAAGTAGGCGGGAACCCATACCAGTTTCGGCGCATTCCTTTCAGAGTGACAAACGGGGTCGCGTGTTGCCAACGTATGTTGGCAATATAATCAAAGCCGAACAGGTGAAAGCCACATTCGCCTACAATGATCACGTTACTGTATGTGGCAAGACGAGAGATTTGCATGATCGTAACCATAGGCACTTTCTCGATGTCACTGAAACATATAACATTACTCTGAACGACACAAAAAGCAGCTTCACAACTGAAGACATTACTCTCTTAGGTTACAAGGTCTCCAAAGATACTATGAGACCTGACCCAAAAAGTATGCGCCCTATAAGAGAAGTTCCAACTCCACAGAACGGGAGCAAAGAGCCATTGGTCTGTTTATCTAATATTCAGAGTGAATACCGGCGTTTTCTGACAGAATTCATCCACTGGTTAAAAACAAAATATTTCCGCTTCCGGAGAATACCCGAACAGCATTTGAGAACCTTAAGCCCAAATTAGAGAATGCGATGGTCGTTACTGTCGGCTACAATATCTTTCTCGTCATCGAAACTGATGCGTGCGACATCGTTATTGGTGCATCTCCAGGGCAACCAGTCGGTTGACTTTTGCTTCAGGACCTCGACTGTAAGCAAGAAAAAACATTCCGCTGCCGAAAAAGAAGCATATACTATCGTTGAAGCGATCCGCAAATGGTGCCACTATCTCCCAAGGTGATATTTTAAACTGATTACGGATCAATTTTCGGTGGCTTTATGTACGGGAATCAACAGAAAAATAAAAGAAGGAACGACAAGATTGAAAGGTGGAAAACCGAATCGGCAGGGTACAACTACGACGTCGTCTATAGACGAGGAACGGATAACCGCGTTGCTGATACTCTATCTCGTAACCCTTCTGCCAACATTGCTGGGACGGATAAAACTTCAAGAGCTTCACAACATTATGCCATCCCGAGGTCACGAGATCTGCACATTTTGTTCGTTCTAAGAACCTTCCTTTTTCAATCAGCGGTATCCGACGTGTGGTGTCAAACTGTTCCACATGCTCCAAACTCAAACCAAAATTTTGCGACACTTTTCGTGGTCAGCCTATCAGAGCCACTCAACCTTTTGAACGCCTTAGTACCGACTTTATAGGCCCATTTCCCTCAAACATTAAGCACCTCTTAACAATCGTTGACGAGTATTGTCGATTCCCTTTTGCTTATCCTTGCGCCGATATGTCCTCTTCCACTGTGATTCGTTGTTTGAGTCAACTGTTTTCGCTGTTTGGTATGCCTGCTTACATTCACTCAGATCGCGGTTCTGCGTTCGTGTCAACTGAACTCAAACAATTTTTGTTCGATAAAGGCGTTGCCAGTAGTCACACCGCTGCATACAATCCAGTGTAATTGTTAGGTTGAACGACGTAATGGTACCCTGTGGAAGACCATCTACCTGGCTCTAAATCCACGCGGCTTGCCTGTCACACATTGGGAGGTTGTCCTTCTTGATGCTATCCATTGTATCAGATCCCTGTTATGTACCAGTATCAACTGTACTCCACGCTAATGTCTCATGCCGTTCATACGACCATCAGCGAACGGTGTCTCCCTACCTTCTTGGCTTATTGTCCCTGACCCGATCCTTTTAAAACGCAATGATGTAGTCTCTAGATATGACCCTCTGGTAGAGGAAGTGGAATTCGTCTCTTGTAACCCACAGTACCCCCACATAGTTCGTCCAGATGGCAAACACGAAACCGTATCCTTACCCTGCTTGACTCCTAAGGGCAACGACATAATATTCAACACAGAACTGGAACCAGTACATATCGCCAAACAAGAGGAGTCTCACGCAACACCA